AGAGTAAAGTGGATAACCTTTTGAACTTCAAACTTTTCTTATCCTCTTTCTTTTTGTAGGAGGACTGAGCTCCCTCAAAGAAGCACCTGTGGTAGGCAGAAACCTACGAACCGGCTTGCCGCATGCAAAAGGGCACCTCAGGAAGATGACTAGACGCAATAGTTTGTCTAGCTTGGGCATGGATTAGCCATCCAAAGAGGGATAACTCGGGCATGAGCTTGCCACCCAAAGAGGGCTAACTTGGCCATGGGTTTGCCACCTAAAGAGGGCTAACGTGGGCATGATTCACATGAATTTGCCATCCAAAGAGGGCTAATTCGGATATTTGGTTGCCACCCAAAGAAGGCTAACTCGGGCTTGAGTGCATAACTCAAGTGCAGATTCATCACCCAAGGCAAGGCATGGAGAGAGATCTAGATGCGAGTGAGAAATGTTGGAAGACAGGATGGTCAAGCAAGGGCGATGTGATAGCCACGCTGCTGTCGTGTTCCCCTCGAGGCGACCTAGCTGTTAGGGGGCTAATGTTGTGATTAAGACTCTATCGATCATTCAAAGGCCCAAATGGCCACATGTGGCACGCGATGAGGAGCTTGAATAAACTTGATGTGACGAAAGTATGGGGCATTAATAATGAAGGATAAGTAGGGAAGATTTGACTTGATGGTTGAGTCAGGTTGGCAAGATCGAGGGGTAAACCAGCATACAAATTCACTCAGACAAGGCATCTTGATGTGTGATGGACCGGGTAAGGTTTGGCAGGTTGGGGAGGCCTTGTGGTTGTGCCACATAAGGTGCTGCATTGGCTTACAATTAATGATTTAACAAGGGTTGGCACACATTTATGAATGATAATTAACGTGGCATGGCTGTGCTAGGATGGGAACTATTAGTGGCTAAACCTAGGAAGCATGTAAGATGAAGGGTGATGATTTTGAGAAAACTAGGCATTAAAGGTGCTCCAAGTGGGGGGAAACTAGGAATGATGAGCTTTGAAGACCTCTGCTCCTCTCTCATATGCAATGAGAGAAGGTGGGGGGGGGGGTCATGGCTATAAATACCTTGGCAGATGCAATTAAAGGCAGAAGAAAGAATAATAATCTTTGTTGCTCCAATCTTGAGAAAAGCAGACCTCTCCTGAATCGAAGTTAGGCCTAACCTAGCTCTTGTGCAAGAGAGAGCATTCGATGCAGCCACTGCTGTAGAAGGACCAGTTTGGGTCGGTGACTCATGTTTTGGTTCCCAACCGACCTCTCATATCCTGGCACGTGTATTGACCAGGATTGAACCTTGACACCCTTTCAACAGAGATGAGGCTTATGGGCTTTTAAACAATCACGCAACTAACATGGGAGGGGTGTTGACCGACGGTTCTTCTGGTCCGTTATTGTTCTCTTCGTTTAGTTTTTGGCAGGAGGAATTGGAGATGTTTGTTAACAGGCACTTGTTAGATAATTCTTAGGAAGTTGAGCTGTTGAGGAAATTAGAATCGAGAAGTCAATAGAGGAGTTTGTGGGTGAACTACTAGATTCTCTTCTTGGCAGTGGGCTGCAACAGGTTAATGGAGAAATCACAATTGATTCTGTTTTAGTCATTGTAGACAGAGGGGGAGATACTACAAAGAGGTTGGAAGAAAAGGAAAAGGAAAAAGGTGGAAAGGATCTTTAGGAAGTATGAAAATGAATAGGAGAATAAATCTGGAAAGCAGGAAAAGGATGGATTGGATAAAGGAGTGGATGGAAGGCCTGAAATGGAAGAGGTTGGGGATAAAGGAACAAGGGTATGCCAAACAAAAAGATCTTATAGAACGAAGCCTCTTGATGAGGGTTTGGAAGCTGAAGATGAAAAGGAGGAACATGCAATTATGTTGGATGAGACACATGAGATTGAGAAGAAAGCTGATATGAAAATTGTCATTAACATAGAGGTGGAGGTGAGCAAAACACTAGGGTTATTTTTCTTGTGGGCTGAGGGATTTGCAAGGAAGGCCTTTAAGGAAGTGGAAGGAAATTCTGGCAGTTTGTTGGGGGTTCATGAGAAGGAGCTTGAATCCTGTGGAAAAATCTTCAACCATTAAAGCATCGAAGGGCGTGGTTTTGACAGTATAGCAAGTTTTTGAGAAGAATGTGGTTCTAGAATTTGAAAGGATTAATGATAATCATGGGGAGAAGAAAAAATTTGAGGTAATTCCCAACACAATCAAAAGATTTAGACACCAAAAAATAATAATAGTCGAATTATGCCAGTCTTGAAGGTTTCTGCTAGGTTAAGGGGAGGCTTGTTTTAGGTTGGAGATGACAGGAGGGTGAAGAAGACAAATAGAGTCATGGAGAATAAAAAAAAGGTGGTTAGTTTTTCAAATGGTAGACTAAAGTGAATGGATTTTGTTTTCTGTACATTGGAAGGGGAAGTGAATGGGTTTTGTTTTATGTATTAAAAGGACTGTCTAAATTTGTTCCAAGTTGAGCTTTGCTTGTGGCTTGCTGTGAAAGTCTTGTTGGGTCTGGTTTGTAGTAGGTTCTTTTGTTAGTTTTTTGGGTGGTTTGGTTGTTTATTGGTGTTGGGTGATGCCTTATCACCTTTTTGTAATAATTTTTCTTTAGTTTAAGAAATTTTCTTCTTTATTTATCTTCAAAAAAATCAGTAAAGGTTTTAATTAGTTTGGATGGGGTTGAAAGATGATTTAGGGACTAAAGGTAGAGATTGGGTAGGTCAGGAAGGATTTCGGGGTTTAACTGCTAGAGAATTTGCATATTTGTTCCCAAACCGCTGGAGACTTAATTAACGCGGGAAGTAACTATAGAATACCTGGAAACTCACAAAAGCATTTATTTTTCTGAATTGTTCATTYAATTCATTTTAAATAAGTCGTATCTTGCTCAGACCAATAAATAGAGCTGAGGTTATAGTTGAAGCTGCCAGTAGAAAACCGAAATAACTAGTTAGAGTAGGCAGTAGCCAGGTCAAGGGTTTTGGTTTTCTAATTTAATGATAAAGTGGTGATTGGTGAAGGTCCAGCTGTATCACTCATCCTTCCAATGATAATTTTTATTCTTCATCCACTGGTAAGTTCGAATGTCACAAAGAGCGTCATCATCATCATCGATCTGGAAACCATTAATCCTGTTCCACCATGTTATATTATCGACCTGGAAACCATATCTCATTACTTCAGTCCATGTCCTTTTTGGCCCATCACAGATGACTTCTTTTCACTATTGCTTTAGATGGTCTTCTCTGCACGTGTCCTATAACCATACTGGTCTATTTTCCCTCGTTCATTTTATTCCCTATTGATGCTACTCCTCAATTTCTTCAAATAAGTTTATTTCTTCAAATGTAGATGGTCTTCATTTAGTCTACGTTTTAATTTTCCCTATTGGTGCTATTCCTATGTAGTTTTTCTACTCCTATGTTTCATCAAATATTCACATTTTTTGCCACACTCAATTTTTTGGACATGATGTTTCTTGCGTGTCCAAGACTGTGCTCAATATCCCGAAGGACATGGCAACCTTAATTCATAAAGGATGGAAGCTTACCTTGAGTGGTATCTCCCTCCGCCATTATGACTTGTGTAAACCAAACCACAAAAGGAAAAAAGACTGGATATTCTGATGGTTTCTGAAGGCTGCTTTTGTCTGTGAATTACTCAGATGACCAAGGCTGCATTTATCAAAATTCAATGAGAGTACTATATCTAGCCTCATAGATGTCATCCATGCAAAACATCATCTTCTCTTCTTGATGTAATGAGCAACCCTCATAGTAGCGTATCTGGATTTTTTTTTATTTTTTATAGATGTTAACGTCTTTGTGCTGGCAATTGCCTGTCTAAAATTCATGCTTGAGTGGGCCATCAATCAGACAATTACCTATGTGGGCCAGGGATTTGGCCATAAAAATTTGCTTAGATTGTCCCGAGTCTGTTATGTCGATTGACTTGTCAGAGATGAGGAAAGGCTGCAGTGATCTTTATGGGGCAAAAGATGGTGCTGTGAATTCCGAGGAATTTGATGATTCAAATCAAGGTATTGAGATGTTGGACCCCATAATTGTTTGAAAATTGGGAGTGGGTTTATGGAGGAAAAAGGTGCAGCATAATTGAAGGAAGTAGAGAAGTTGATAAACCTTTGGTAAAGTTGAAAAAAAAAACACAGAGGTTCAAATAATGGTCACATAGTTCATGTTACTGAAGTTTTTAATCAGATGAAAGATGGTCTTTTAGGAGCTGGTCCTTGTAGCAAGTTCAAGAGGATCTAAATGAGAGGGGGTGAAGGCCAAAAATAAAAATCAAAGCTCTATTAGGAGTAATTCTTTGGATATGTTGAAGAGAGAAAGGTGAGGAAGATGAAGATGGGACTAAATTCTGATGTTCAAAAGGATGATGTCAATTTGAGAGAGGAAAAGTTGCCAGGGGCTGAATGTGAAGACAAGGAAGAGGAAAATGAGGAGATGACAATGTCAATTTGGGGTTATTTTTTCTGGGAGGGGAAGAATTTACAAGAAATACTTTTTTTGCTGGGAGGGGAAGAATTTGCAAGAAATACTTTTTTTGGATCTGGGAAAAATGTATGGTTTGAATGTGAATGGTTCTGATGCAGAGGTTTGATTTGTAGATGATGGTTGTATGGGTTGTGATTGGGGCTGGTAGTGTAGGGGGAGAATTTTGGGTCTCTTGTGATGGTTTTGGATCCTGGCAGAAGGTTCTGTTTGTTAAATGTCTGGGAGGGGGAAACACCTTTCTTAGTAATCTCTTTTTATTTCTTAATAAACTTTCTTTTTTATTTATTTCCAAAAATTATGCAACCTACCCTAGAATTCCAAGATGCCCGGGCAAGAAATTGGCAATATTGGAAGAATTTTGTAGTCTTTTAGTTTTTCTTAATGTAGGGCGAGTAGTTCTTTTTAATTCTGATTGATTTGTATACGACTTTTTTCTTTTTCAAGGAAAAATAAAGTATATTGCATTGTACTTATGGTTCTTATCATTGTACTTGCAGAGATGGAAACCTGGTCGGTCCAAACTTGGGCACAGAAGTAACTAGTGATGTCTCTTCATCTGGACCAGTACAGTTGGCAGATCTGCAGAGAATATTAAGTAGCATTGGACCTGCAGGTATCATGTTTGCTGAAGGACTACTCTTGTGCCCAGCCTTGCAATGTTTTGATGACTGATAGTGCTTTTATCTGCTTGGTTATGTAGGTGCTGTTGGAGATGAGGATGCAGGTGCTATTCCAATTGTCTTAAACATGAAAGAAAACCACTAAGACCATAGAGATGGTCTGCCAATAGCATGGTGATAATACATGCGGCTACTCATCTGGAATTTTGGAACTAGTAATTTACCTTATTGGTCCCTCCTAGTAATCTTGGTCTCAAGGTCTTCCTGATGAAATGATCCTAACCATCTAACAATTAAATAGCAGGTTGGGGTCTGTGTTGACCCCCAATTACCTTCCCCCCAGAATACTCTGACTATTGAGTTGTTTTGGCAGGTCAGAAGAAGAGATGTCAAGTCAGATGGTTAGGATCATTCAGTTAATGAGTTATAGGTTGGAAGATCTCTCAGCAAAGTTCCCAATAAGTAGTCGTACTTCATGTAAGCCATGTGGTTGGTAGACTGTAAATGCTGTCTATCTGATACTTAGGGTTATCTTGAGTTTCCTACAGTTATTATCTTGGAGGGGTTCTTTTCCTGTCAGATCACTGAACATCATTTTTTTTAACTAGGTTTGGGATTAGGAGATATTCTTAAACCTGAATTAATCTTGCCTTTAATTGAAACGTTGCCTTTGGAACAGCGATTAGCATCATATTTGCCTGAGGTAAATTGATAAAACAACATTTCTCTACCTGATATTCCTCTATATTCCCCCTCCCTTTGGTGGGGGTGTATTAGTTGTAACCGTGTTGAGGTTGCAGGGCCAATGGACTCCTGAAGATTTGATTGAGTTGCTACAAAGTCCCCCTTTTCGCCAACAAGTAGAAGCATTTACTTATGTGAGAAACATTAACATCCTTTATTTTGGTTATTTTTCTCCTTACTCTTTGCTATCCAAATAAAATCCAGGCCAGTTTACAAAATGCTCTTGTTTTATAGGTGCTTCGGACAGGACAGATAGACCTGTCTCAGTTTGGGATTGATCCAAGTAAATGTAAGAACGAAATCTTAGTCTACCCTTGACAATGCTTTTTCTTTTGTGCTTGTAGCTTGCTTTTCTTATATGCCTCTTGGCAGGTCCTTTGTTCTTTTTATAGTATCAGATAGGCATGCTTTTTTCTAAATGTTACAATATCACATCAGTTATTAGGATGTTAACCATTTATCAGAAACCGAGTCTTCGCCATGTATTTCGGTTGTTATTTTATAGTCAATGAAGTTTCTCTGAAATTTTAGGATCTATTTAGTTCGCAGGGATGGGGGTCTGGAATCTGAATCAGAATAGCCATTGCAATTATGGCATTCCCCCATTTGAGGGAATGACCATCCCCCCTCTCTTGGGATTGAGAATCCATTCCAACTGATTCCAATTCCTTTCTGAACCAACTGACAAGGGGAATGGACCATTCTGATTCAAATTCCAATAGATTTCGATTTCGGTTCCAACTTCAAACCAACAGGCCCATAGTTCTGTTCAACTCATATCATTAGTCCAAGTGTTTGTCGACATTCTCGTTTCCTTTGTGCAGATAAATTCACTGTTCTGTCTTTTCTCGAGGCACTGGACGACACTGTCACCAAAGCTTTAGAATCTGAGGAGGCAAAGCAAGATGAGAACAAGGAGTTAAGATCTCAAAGTTGTAGTGGGAATGATGCAATGGATGAAGGTCAATAGTGTAACTTACGTTTATTTATTCCCATTCCCCCCGTCATTCTTCACATTGGAGTTTAAATTTGGATGCTGAAGCTAAAATTGGGTTTTGCTCATTTCATGAAAAAAATGGGTAAGTGGAAAAGCATTGATGGTGTCATTTCTTGGTCAAATATTTTGTACACATTAAACTAATAAATTTTTCATTGTGGTTCTTTATTTTTGATTTATGGTTTCAGATGTTGTAATGTACTAGTATCTCATAGTTCATCATCGACTTTGGGTTTGATTAGTTGTTTATATTTTATTTATATTATATACTATTTTGTCTTTATTTTAGTTTTTCTTTCGAGTGGGGCATTGGGGAACACTGATACATGGGCTACGTCAACAAAGGGTTGTGACCTCCGCCCTCGCCACTGACCATGTGATTTTTTATTCAGAGAAGGGGCTTTAGGCTCCTGCTGCAAATCCAAACAATGTTAAGTCTGCTTTCTCACGTGGTAATGGCTCACGTTTTTATTGTCATAGTGACACTCTTTGAATTGTTATTAGGGCAAAATTCTTAATCTATTTTTATGGTTTAGTTAATTGATTAACTCTACCCTTATTGTTTTATATATTGTCTTAGATTACCCCTTAAGTTTTTTTGACAATTATTTAAAATCTCCTTGTCATTAACATTCGATAACGGAAAGATGAAAAAGATGATTTTACTCATTATTCTCCAAATTTTCAAAATTGAACAGGAGGCAGGGATTCAGGAATGTGATTTTGTTCTTAGATTATAGTGCTTCAGATTTACGAACAACTGCCGTTGGTGGATGGCTCAACTTTCAGGCTAGTAGTGCTTCAACGGTTCAGGGGGGCCGGTTTAGGACGACTCCACCCCCTGAACCGGTCAGACCCTCGATACACCCACTGTAGGGGCATATCAAAGGGGTCCCAGAATGATATATATCGGCCGATATGGGCTGATATGTCTCAATACTTTGAACCTTGGGTAGAGTTAGTCAATTAGCTAAACCATAAGGGTAGTTTAAAAAATTAGCCCTTACTATTATTGCTTTTCATGGAGTTTCATAGCTTCCTTTATGGTCTGTTTGGTTGCCGAGAAAGGATGAGATGGGATGAAAAGGAAAAAAGTTATTTTCTCAATTCTGTTACCTATGTTTGGTTGCTGAGACCAGTTATTCTATCAAAATTTCTTTTCAATGTTTAGTTGATGAGAAGATTTTGCAGGATGGTTGGATTTGTTCTAGAATTGATAAATCCATGCGTGTCATGAGCCATCTAACTATGGCTCATTTTGGTTCAATTTGATCAAGAAGAGGGATCTCGAGTTTGTGATAAAAGGTTTAGAGTCGAGAGCAAAAGAATCCAAAGAGCTCTGGATAAGCAGCTTTGAATAATAATAATAATAATATCCCCTTGGTGGAAGGATGTTATCCCTCATTGGCTTGCTATCAAATTTATTTTGATAAATTTTGTTTGACATCCATTTCTTATGTTGGAAACTTAGGTTATTATTTTATTTGATATTTTTAGATATATAAATTTATTATGTAATTTAAGACATTAGTCAAGTTTCATTTCTAAACAATAACTCACTTTATAGATCTTACATATTTGAAATGAGTTTTTTATTTTTAGGGAGCGACTACCATTAAACTTTTAAGAGTGGAGGCAAATACCATTTGAAAATTATACTTTTTTTTCGAGTGGGTAGACATGTTTGAACTTTGAAGTAGTGTTTTAAAAGGCATGGGAGATGTACGCTTGGAGGTTGAGGTGAACCTCCAGGTGAGGTTCTCCCAAAACGGCTTGAGGCGTATGTTAGAGGCGTTGACACCTATGAGCAAGGCTTTCGAGCTACCGTTGACTCGGACGATCGGACCGTTTGGCCCAAGAACTGTCCAGGCAACCAGTTCCGTTTTACCTAAAACCCGATTTTGGTAAAAAATTGTTGACCCATTCAATGGGGTTTGATCGTTTTTTATTTTTATTTATTTATTTTTTAATTTGTTTGTCAAAATGAGTCATCCGTTTGAACCAAACGGTTAGACCGTCGACTCGAAAATCGGTGGCCAAAACGGTTCCATTTTCGAGTTGTTTTTTAAAGCGTTGCCTCTGAGAAGAAAGGAAAAGAAAGGGAAGGGAAAGAAAAAGAAAGAATAAAAAAAGAGAAAAGGAAAGAGAAGGGAAGAAAAGATAAGGGGAAAGAAAGTGGTTTTCCCCCTGCCCCTTCGGTTGTGGGGCTTTGCCCCCCCTACCCCACAAACTCGCTTTGCTCTCTCACCTCCGCTTCCCCCCTTCCTCTTCATCCTCATCCCCTTCCTCCTCCTAACCCCCCTCCTCTTAAGGAGGCTTACGCCTCTTGCGTTCTGAAGTATGCCCCACGCTTCTAAGTAGTGGAATGCCTCGCGTCACGCCTATGCATTTTAAAACATTGGTTTGAAGGAAGAAGCTTTTGTTTGAAAGTGGGAATAACCACTTTTAAGATGTTCTTTCTTGAGAAAATGAGGGCGGGCTTTCCTTGAGCTTAAAGACGACCAACTTCACCTTCTATTTCAAGAAATGGCAGGGAAATAGCTTTGCTTCGGCTGCCCAAGTCCAATCTCTATATTTAATATAAACATGAATTAGTTCAATCATTGAATTAAACTAGCCTGTATAGTGGCACGCACACGCATACATTGGTGTGTTCAGTTGATAATTGTCTCCATGTTTAGTCTGGTTCACGGGTACACCAAAATGAAAATGATCATTTGATATGCTTCTGTTGGTTCTTAAACCAGCAAAATTGGAAGTTATGTGCTTTCATGCTTTGAAAGAAAACCCCTCAGAGGAAGGATGTTAGCCCTTGCTGTCAGATGAGTGACAATAGGAGGCAACTGAACTAGCTCTAAAGTATGGTAGACAGTCATGGGTTGTAAGCAATAAGGAGACTGTTGTTGGGGTATGTCATTGTCTGTTTGATATAGTTGATTGATAGGACAAAAACAGTAGAAAGTTAATATTCAGACACATTAGTTTACGGGGAAAATCTATGCTGCCGGAGAGAAATGATACTGGAAGATCTTTGACCAATCAAACCCCCCATGAAGTTTGATAAATGCCACTTGATTGGTTACAAATTTTTCTGCTATCATAGTCGAACCCTACCTTCTTTACTTTTTAGAAGGTTTCTCTTATCTCGAAACAGAAACTTCTTTCACCAACTAGAGCTTCAAATACAAATATAGAGTTGTTAACTTTACAAAACTGATACACAGACAGTAAATTTTAAGCACTATGTAGAACCACTAGGAACATTGTTTAAACAACATAACTACTAGGAATATGCAATTTGGAGGAGCCAACATGAGAGATGTGCAGACCTTCAATTGCTTTATATTGCCTTTGTGATCTGTTCTTCTCCATGCTTACTCCATTTGGCACCCAGCATGAGTTTCAGTCCACTTGCAACGGCACTTATAGCAGAACTCAATGTTGCATCTGAAAAAGTTCACAGTGACAACCTTCGTCAGTCGAATGCTTCAAAAATCTTAATATAATGAATGTGGGTTTACAATTAACTATATCTGGGTTAGTAAACAAATCCTGATTCATTTAATTTATTTAGTGGAAATCTAAATTGAATAAAAAACCAAAATTTCGGACTTGGTTTAACCTTTGAGAAATGGGTTCTTTGGTTTCAAATGCCATGAAAGCTGGCTGGTTCTGCAACAAAAGCTCATTTGATCGTATTATTAGCTGATAAATACTAACCTGCAAGTGATGCGTAAACAACCTTCCACTCTTTCCACAAAGATCCCACACCCTGGACACTCTCCCCACCCTTTGTTCTTGGCAAGCTCCTTCATCATGAGATCATCTTTCTCCTCATGAGACAACCTCTGAAACTCCTCACATCCATGGCCTGAATGCCACTGAAGCCCGCAAACAGAGCAAAGCGATCTCTGGCAATGTTTGCACTTGATGTCTGTTCCTTGGGCTACCTCCAGCATCTTGGCGCAATCCTTGAAAGGACAAGGAATCCATCGACGTTCAGGAGTTACAGACGGCTCGCTATGCAGATTCACCCACCGGTCAAACACTTGTTCTGGGACCAGTGAGCGACAGCAACTGGGTTCTAACACCCCCTTGCATATCAACATCGGGCATTTCACCTTGTAAACGTTGTCCTCAACTTTTGCTGCTATATGTTTACCTATGCAGTCACGACAGTAGCAGCGGTGAGAGCAGGTCTCGTTTGTGAACATCTCTCCTGCAGGCTTCTTTTCCATGCAAATCTCGCAGTCCAACTGATGGGGAGATTCACAACCCTCCATTTTTGCAATGAACAAATACTCCTCGAATTGCAGCATTTCTGCAATTTTTTCGTCTGTTTTCTCCTCTCCAACCATAATGATAGCTGCACGCTCGTCGTCAGCCACAAGGGAATAGGAAATGAATGATCTGATATCTCTCTTTTTGGAGCTGGACTCAAATATTATCTTACTTTCAAGCTCTCCCTCTATCCTTCTCAGACAGTAGACTTCTGCACCTTGAAAAGGAGGGAATCCCCCTCAACTTAATTATATAGAAAACTTAGTTCGAATTTTCCAGGAAAATTCCAAGGCCTCAACAGGAGTAGGAGGAGGAAGAATGTTAAGCTTATACACGGTGACCCTGAACCGTGTGGCCCTATGAATTAAAATGGAAAATTCTCATTTGTTTCCAATGGACTTCCAGGTTTTGTTTTAAACCAACTTGCTTCAAAATTGCTCATGAAGACCAGGTCAACTAAACTTGCTTCCACGAAATTAAGGGTAAATAACTGAAATCTAGTTGCTAAACCTCCTTGAAGTTTGATAATTGCAATTGCCTCCCCTGAACATTTTAACATAGTTGCTAACGAAGGAAGATTTGGCCCGACCTCACAAATCATGCCACGTGGCAGAAAACAAGTAGCTTGGCACTTAAAACAGCGTATCGAGGGTACAAACACCAAAGGGAAGAGACCAGCAGCCCGAACTCCCCACGAGGAGCCCAAACTCCCTACAAGGTGCCCGAACTCCCTACTTAGAGCTCGAACTCCCTACGAGGAGCCTGAACTCCCAACAAGGGGCCTGAGCTCCCTACTTAGAGCTCGAACTCCCTACAAGGGGCCCGAACTCCCTACTTAGAGCTTGAATTCCCTACGAGGAGCCCGAACTCTCCCTTTGGCCCCGAGTCACACAAAGCAGAGACCCGAACTGGCCCGTTTTATGACAGTTCAGGACCCCCCCCTTATCCGAACTCAAGACTTCGCCTCACGCACCGCTCCAGGCACTTCGCTTCCAAAGCATTGAACTAGACGAACCACACCGTACCTGACACCGAAGGAGTCCGTATCCAGGGGCGGCGCACCTGACTGACTTGGGATCTGACGCTTGACGGCCGCAYTTCAAACGGCCACCTGCCACCGTCACTTGTCACCGCCACCTCCAGTTGCAGAGACGGCTCCGACAAAAAGAGCAGTGACGGTTCTGCCCCAGCACAGGCGATGACGCCCGAACTGGCAGAAGCACGGGAATGATCATTCCCGACATGACAGGAGTCTAGGAGTGAGTGCGCGAGGTAGTTCTAAAAGGCTCTCCACTTCCCCAAAGAGGAGGTAGGCAAACTTTGCGCTATCTGGTTTTATCTTGCCTTTGAAGGATTCTAACTTAAAGCTTCAAAGCCTTTACACCGGGTTCTCCCCGGAGCTTCCTCATCTCCTCCGTTTCAAGTTCCCTGCTATTCAGTTCAGAGGCAAGGTCGTTGACAGCTAAGACCGGCCGGATTGCGCATCATCAGTTGCAAATAGACCTCCTTTGTTAGAATCTTTAAAAAATATCCAAAACACCCATGCAATTTCTTTTGACCTAAGATGTTTATTTTTTCAAATTTTCTCTTCATGCCAACCACTAGCTAAAATCCTTTCAATATCTCTTCTAAAATTGATTTATTTTCTAAATTTGCAGTTCATATTAATCACTCAAATGTAAATATGAAACTTTAAATTCTCTATTTTTTATTTATAAAGTTTGCATTGTTTTTTTTTTATAGAAACCGGCCTCAATAATAATTGTATGGGTATTTTGGAAAATTTTGTCTCTTTCTAGAGGATTCTAATAAAAAGAATTTACTTACAAATGTATCAAAAAGTTCAGGAGAAATGATTGAAATTACCAAACTTCAAGAAACGTTTTAACAACAAAGGTATAATTACAAATTACTATCATATACTTTCAGGGTAGTGGCAATTATCCCCTGAACTTTCATGTTCCTACAAATACCCCCTACATTAGCAGTCTCTTAGATAACTCCGAAAAAGATTCTTATGTAATTGTTTAAACTTTTCAAACCTCAAAATCATCCATTTTTTCTAATGGTTTTTTAACGTTTTTTTTTATTTCCATTTGTTAATGGCTTAGTTTATATTAATTATATATTGTGTCTGTTGCAATTCTAAGTTTTCATATAAGTTTCTTCAGTGGGTATTTTGATAAATGAACTTCCATCACTCAACTTAACGGAGAGAGGACTTTGTCGGAATTTGAAAATTCAGTGGCCAATGAATGTTCAGTGATAAATTGAGGACCAAATCAACATACGGGACGGGAGGGAGGCCATCTATCTGGCGTGGTCAAGCCCGCGTCTCTCCCAAACGGAGACCAAATCAACATTTGCACACTTTAATACTTATTATAATCCAGTGAAGGTGCAGCAATCAGCATTTGGGTTTCTTTGTTAAACCACCTATCTAACAACTCAGAACAAACAAGAAACAAAAAAGAAGCCAAACAGAACAACCAACTACATTGTCTTTGACTCGATAACAAAACCAGACTGAAAGCATCTCGTTCGACTGTAAATCATGGCACCCATCAAAGAAAGCTTGTGAGCTGCTGTAGTATATTGGCCTCACGAGTCACCCAAGTAAACTGGATGGGATGACCTTCACAAAGGAGCAAAATACCCTTGAGAATATATATAAAAACCAAGGTTTTTAAAACCGACCCAGATAATGGCCCGACCCCTTGGCCACGCGACACGTGAAAGCAATCGAGAGTGACCTGGCAGGAGAGCCAGCTCGGCACGGCAGCGGGCCCACAACCCGAGCTCCGAGAAAAAGAGTCCCGAGCTCCCCCAAAAAAGGAACCCATGACCCGAGCTCCCCAAGGAAGAACCCAAGCTCTCCCTTAGAGGTCTTGAGCCTTACAAGGAGCGCAAAGGGCAAAAACCCGAGCTGACCCACCCCAGGGCAGTTCAGGCCACACTTCTGTCCGAACTCAAGACTTCACCTCGCACACCACTTCGGCTCCAAGTCGGCTGATTGAACAACTGTACCGGATGCCAAGGAAGCCCGTACACAGAGGCGGCACACCTGACTGATTAGGGGTCAGACACATGACAGCCGCCCTCCAACGGCCACCTGCCACCGCCATCTCAGACATGGCAGAGACGGCCCTAACAAGGAAGACAGTGGCGGTTATGACACCCAAACTGGCATCTGGTAGAGGTTATGACACCCGAACTAGCGTCTGGCAGAGATGATGACACTTGATCTGGCAGAGGTATGGTAATGAGTGTACCAGGGTGATTATAAAAGGCCCCCTTCCCCCAAAGAAGGAGGTATGTGATTTTCGTGCTTTCTGGTCTTGAAGTCCCTTATTTCCCTTGCCTTCTCTAGAGCACTAACTTGAGCTTCGGAGTGTTCCAACTGGGTTCCTCCCCGGAAATCTCTAGTTTCTTCCTTGTTTCAGAAACCTTCAATTCCGTCAGAGGCGAGGTAACCGGCAGCTAGGATCGACCGGATTGCGCATCATCATTTGGCGGCGTCTGTGGGAAGACTTCAAAAAGCCTCCCCTAACCTTTAACTCTCCCTCTCTCTCTCTCAAAAAAAAACCTTAGCTTCCATGGCTTCCTCCAGCAGCAATAGGCACAACGCTGACTTGAGGGCTGTAGGGGAGCACCCTCAGCCCGCCACTGTATGCATCGGACAGTTCACCGTCCCCCTCTCGATAGACGGAATCCCTAGCCTCAATGCACCAAGCACGGTGGCCCCTGTGAGTTTTCCCCTTCCCCTCCCTATCGAGACAACCTTTGTCGAACCGACCGCTGTCCCTCTGGCAACCAGCCAGAACCAACAACAGTTCCCCCAACTGCCTCTAAACCAACCGCAGCTCCCACCTCGGCACCCTGCTCCGAAGCCGGTCAAGCCCTCCCCTCAGGGCGGGCGCCTTCACCAAGGGGAAGCCTCCCAACTTCAGAACCCCTCCAGGAGTCAGGCCTCATCCCCGGGCAGGAGGGAAAGACTAACTACCCCCGCCTCGCATCTCGCCGGCGGATCAGGAACCTCCTTGCCGATCAAGTCAACACCTCGACACTCTAAGTTCAAGCTCCCGCTCGCAGAGAACCAATTCAGCATCCTGGCCTTCTAAGCAGCAGCGAAGACGCCGACGAAGTCGCCGAACTACCACCCGCATCCTGCCTGAGCTCCGAGGTAAAGAAGAAACAAGCTCAGACGAGGTAAAAGTTGCCCCTATTCTTTCAGTTCCTTCCCCCCTGTCATCAGAACTCCTTGCGGTTCCCTTGCCCAAAGACTTCAAACTCCCTCCCCTAGACAAGTATGATGGGTCCTTTGACCCCAATGACCACATCGATGCTTTCAAATCCCAAATGCACCTGGTGAGGGCTAGCGAGTCCTGCATGTGTGTGGCCTTTACTACCACATTCAGGGGAGTGGCCCGCACCTGGTACAGGAACCTGGCCCCTGGGTCGATAAGAAGCTGGACCCAGTTCGTGCAAGTCTTCACCGTGCACTTCGTTACTAGCAAGCGATGCCCCCGAACTGAGGAGAGCCACCTCGGAATAGTCCAGAGGGAAGGAGAGTCCATCCGGGGCTATGCCAAACGGTTCAATGACGTGTGCTTGCAGATACCGCGCCTAGACCCTGCGGTACAGCTCACGGCAGCCAAGAGGGATGTGACACACAAGGAGTTCAAGTGGCACATGGTAGTCAACCAGCCCGTGACCGTAGCTGAATTCCTCAAGCTCACGGACAAATTTATAAGAACAGAGGAGGAGATCAACCGAAGGACTGAAAGCGGGATCGAAAAAAGGAAGAGGGATGGCAAACCCTCCAACCCGGATGACAGGTACCTAAGAAATTTTGTACAACATAATAATAATAACAATAATAGTAATAAGACAGGTCGACAGGGAGAGCACAACAAAGATGCTCCCGAGTCCAGCAGTCAACCAGCCGAACTGCAGAAGCAGCCCCCGGAGGAAAGACCAGTTCGAGGAACAATCCACGTGATCGTTGGAGGATCGATCGTAGCAGGGTGCACCTCGGCCGCAGCTCGGGCATCAACCTGGGAGGCCGCCAGAGAAGAACAAAATCCCCCAAAGCGGCCTAAGACGGAAGACCCCATATTCTTCACCGAAGACAATGCGCGCGGGGTCCACTACCCCCACGACGATGCACTTGTCATAAAGGTAAAAACCAACGACTTTGAAGTCTAGCGCG